TTGCAGTTAACTATAACCTATCTACGGTTAGCATGGACTATCCACCTACATACTTTAACTAATTTTGCAAACAATTCATCTTTTCTAAGCATAGACTATGAAAACATTCATTTATAAAAAACATTGCAATACCATTACATGAAATCCATTCTTATGTCCGGCAGGGCTCCGCCAGATATCGTCCAATAAGAATGGGGTAAGAATAGTCTAAGAACAGTTATATCTAAGACAAGGTAATAAATTTTCAGAAACTATTTAAAACTTTAAAATCCAATTGAGTTGTCTCAATTGCTCATAATCATGTAATCAGAAATATAATATATATTAAAAATATCCCAGAGTTAAAACAATCAAACCATAGTACTTAGATCGGGTTACATCAGTGCCTTAAAAGAGAAATTAGCTACTCATTATGATGCAGAATATCATCTGTGTTGCTGTCGTCTTCATTGTCACGGATGACACTTCTCTTCTCAGGATCTTCACCTTCTAAAGTTATAGAAACCCTAAAAGCCGCCACCACAATATCAGCCTTTTGAATAATACGAGAAAAAGGAAGTTAACGGAACCCCTTCTATCAAGGCCTGTGCCTTATTTTATAGAAGAAATAAGGGTTTGGTGGGCTTTTAGGTCTTCTAGCCCATCTAGAGTGAAATAAAACTTAGAAAAGAATAATCCCCGTAACTTATAAATCCAATCTGTCCTAGAAGGCTCGAGCTTAAGGAGTAGAGCTCGAGCTATTGGGTTCAGGCTCGAGCTTTAGGAACAAAGCTCGAGCTTTCTTGAATTATTGCTCGAGCTTCAAGGAATGATGCTTGATCTTCACTTTTTTACTTAGTCAAATTTCTTCAACTATTTTCCGAAGCGTCTTTTCCATCCACACTTAAAACATTTTAGGGTTTTCTTCTTTTAACATTGTTTGATCCAAGCTTCAAAGGGCTCGAGCTTTAGGTACCAAGCTCGAGCTTTTGGGACTCAAGGCTCGAGCTTTTGGGACTTAAGGCTCGAGCTTTGAATAATAGTGCTCGATCCTTGAGGTCTGGCACGAGGCCTTGGGAGCTTGGTTTTCTTTAGAATCAACTCTTTAAATTCCGACGCCTCATGCTCAAGCTTGAAGGCCAAGGCTCAAGCATCCTAGGGTAAGGCTCGAGCACCACTGAGTAGGGCTCGAGCTCTGGAGGTACAAGGCTCAAGCTTTGATGCCTTGTTGATTTTCTTCTTTTTCTTGCAGGGCTTGAGCCTCAGAACTTAGGCTCGAGCTTTGGTACTTGAATTCTTCCAAACTTCACCATTTAAGCTCTCGGCTAGCTTTGGATGACCGGCAATGACTCTGTAAGCTTCGATATCAGTCTTTTCATCATAAAATCCCGGTTTTAACCGTTTCTCTAGGAAAGTGCAACACACAATAAACATAAATCAGTCTAACAGTGGATAGAAGTATTACTTTAGGTCTTAACATACGTATATTTAGGGGCTCAAATATGCAATATTCAGCACTCATCAAGAGGGTCTCTATGGATTTCTCAATGATATTTCTATGAGTCGAAGGATCTGAAGGTTGAGGAATTGAGGTTGAATCGGTTGATTTGGTTTTCTTGGGAGCTATATGAGCATAAGAAGGGAAGAAAATCTTTGTTGTAATGACAAAAGAAGAAAGAAAGAGAGGTTTAAGGGTTTGAAGATGGTACAAAGCTAGATACCAGCTTCGTATTTTATACTCTTTATGGATAAGTCTAAAAGCTGTTTTAAATGGGTAATGATAACCATTAAGGCAGGTGGTTAGGTGAGAAGAGTTATTACCAAAGATTTGAAATTCAATTTTTGGCCGATTAAAATTCCAAAAGCCTCTTATCATAAGTGATAAGGGCATTTGAAATTTAGGGGGCATTTTTTAGCACCAAAACTTGGCAACCACCTCAAAAATGACGTGGACTAGTGAGGAGTTGACAAGTGTTCAATTTGTTTTAAGAAAAGTCGGCCAGTAGAGAAACATTAGGAGAGAATTTAGAAAGATATACTCAACCACCTTGTTAATAAGGTTGTTGCTGAAATATAACAAGTAATATTTGACTCAATTCAAATGAGAGTGTTCACAGGGGAAGAAAGACTATGAGATTCGGCTAAGGTAAAACAACTAAATCCCTATGAGGGATTTAGTTAGAAAAGAGAAGGAAAGATTCAAAGGACAGTTGCATCATGAATAAATGAAAAGTGGTAAATGGCTGTTAGGCCATTTAAAGAAGATACTAGACCTATCAATGGAGTGAATCCTGATCCGGATCCGTAGTCGGATGTGGATTGAACAAAAAATCCGATAATCTGATTACGATCCGAATCCGATAATCCATTAGCTTAACAAATCGGATATGAATTATGCTGGTTTGATCCGTTAATAATCCGATCCGATCCGATTATAATTATATATATATAAATAATTACTAGATAGAACCACGTGCGATACACGTGATTGAACTTAGCAATATTTTGAGATAATAAAATAGCTTAGATGATACGTAAAAATAATTTGGAAATCAAATGTAGAAATAAAATCTAAAATGAAAATAAATAAAAGTGCTAAATTAATTTAGTTTATGTATTTATAAATTTAGAGCAAAATAGATTCAAAACTTTAAGTTATCATTCATCATCCGAATAATTACTTGACTATTAATCTCAAAGATAAATAAGACTTTTCATCATCTTCAAAGTCCCTTTATCCAAAACCTTATGCAAACCCTAATATTCTTTTGGTATTTATACCGAACAATTAAATAATATAATTTTATTTTGCAAAGCAATGAAAAAGAATATTTAATCAATTGTACAAGAGATATTATAATATAACATTACATTTATAAATACGACATATAACACGTTATATTTTTTATAAATAGATTTAAAAACATGTAATAAAAATTAAATAATTATATATGCACGTCTTCTATCTATTTTATTTATTTATTTATTTTTGTTATGTGTGACTGAATAGAATACAATATACATAATAGCATATTATATAGAGACCTTAAAGTTGTTCACACACAGTCGGAATTTATTTTTTAAACCATTAAAATTCATCGAGAGTATTGTAAAAGATAGTAGATTTTTTAAATAAAGTATTATAAAATAATAACAGTCCAATAAAATTTCAATAAAAACATATTAAAGTAATAGAGAGTAAGAAACTTCTGGCGTGTTGGAGAGTTGAAAGGCTCCAAGATTGTCACGCTCACAAAAGAATATTTACCAAACCTTCCATTATCATATTGCTCATAGATTCAACATATATATATATAGAGAGAGAGAGAGAGAGAAAGAGAGAGGTCAATTACAACGACATCCCCTGAGATTTGCCGTATTGACAATGCATATATAAGTTAGCCATTTTTTGAGCACTCACACCCCCTGTCTGAAATTTAATCCAAACAAGCCCTTAAAAGTTATGAAAAGACAAGATTGCCCTTCAATAAAATATCAATTATTAATCTAAAATATCAAAAATATGTATATGACATAATTACCCTTTTAAAAATCATAGGTTTCTCTCTCTACCCTATTCTTCGATAAAAAACCCAAAAATTTTGCTCTCTATCTCTATCCTCTCACCTTCATAAGAAACCCACCGATCTCCTGGATTTCCTTTGATACTACCAGAGTGAGCTTGCTACCAAAGATTGATTTTTAGCTTGGAAAGCTCACTGCTCACCAATGCTGCATCATCATGGTCACCGAATCCAAAGCTCACATGTTCCTAGTCGACACCCTCAAAATCTGTATGCAGATAATTGGGTCTTCGTGCCTATCTTCAGACCTCACACTCTGGCCAACCTTTGGCTCCATTCTCAAGCTCTAAGGCCCTACCATCCTCTATCGCGGTATCATCGCCATGGGTTTCAGTGTCAAAATTAGGGTTTTGGGGTTTGAATTAGGGTCGATGAGCACGAGGCAGTGAAGATATCGAGGCTTCAATTTTGACAAAGCAATGGACATTTATGGTTCGCAGAGAGGGATTGCGCCGACGATGGTGGTTCAGCAGCCTTTATTCCACCACCAATTGCTCCTCCGTTTCTTCGAAGTGGTGGTGGGGGTGGGTTTGGTGGGGCTGTGGATTGGTGGTGGTGGTGGTGGGTGTGGCAGGACTGTGGAGTGGTGGCGGGGCTGTAAAGTGGTGGTGGCAAGTGTGGCTGGGCCGTGGAGTGGTGGCGAGGTTGTGATATGGTGGTGGCGGGGTTGTAAAGTGGTGGTGGCGGGTGTGGTGGGGCTGTGAAATGGTGGTTGCAGGGTTGTGATATGGTGGTGGCGGGTGTGGGTGTAGGTGTGGCAGGGCTGTGAAGATAAGAGCGCAGAGAGAGAAAGGTGTTGGTGGAGCTGACGGTATAGTGATGGTGGCTATCGTGGTGTGCCGCCAGTGGAGGTGGCGATATGATGATGGTGGTAATGGTGGTGTGCCGCCAATGGAGGTGCAACCACCCTCTTCTTCTCCCAGTCTTTCTCTAAATATATATCTACACACACACACACACACACACACACACGTGTATAAATAAGAGCTTAAGAGGAGATTATATATATATATATATACACACACGTATATGTATTCGGTGTATATTGTTGTAGTGATGAAAGGTTAAATCTGTAATTTCAAAATTCCAATGGTTTAATTGACAAGTCAAAGGGCAAATTGGTCATTTTCTAATGTGTCAGGGGGTACAGATGGTATCAGGGGGTGTTTTGTCAACTTTATCAAGTTTCAGGGAGTCTCATTGTCCAAAAAAAGGCTAACTTATATATGCCTGTCAATACGACAAACCTCAGGGAATGTCGTCGTAATTAACATTACTCCGTAGAAGAAATATCCATTTCAATCTTCCTCCTATTCATTTTTTTTTTTAAATTAATTTTTACTTTTGTTCCCTTCAATTAGCTAGTTTATTCTTCTTGATGCATGGAAAAGATCAGTTATGTCCAGTCATACGAGAGATTTGGTACAGATATACACAGGTCACAAAGATCATCTGGATCATGTTCTAACAAACTAGGAACCCTTTCTACATCCTTCTGCTACATATAATTGCTCTATTTACTGGACTGGAAACACACAACACGAGAACCACATGAAGCAATCCTGGGGTTCCTGGTGAGCAGAATGCTACAATTACTGGTTTGTCTAATTGACCACGTATTACAAAACCGGGTATTACTTGTATTTCACGACAACACCTTCAAGAATGCCATCAGATCGGAAGTTGGGTGAGAACAGCCTTGGATCGACAGGTCCTGGCAAACAAAAAGAAAGTGTAAATGGTCCAGGTGGGCATTGTTGCTGAAATTTCATTTCAAAAACCCGAGAATGTTTTGAAACAGTTCTTCCACCAGTCGATGTCACCCCCCGGACATGGACCTTCCCACCAGGTTCAATCTCACAGCTGAACTGACCTGCTACAGCAAGCATTATCAATTCCCAAAAGTATAAAAAGCAAACTTATAAAGAAAAGAAGGATCAATGAGAAGAGGAGGAGAATGATCTGAAACCACATGGTAGGATGTTTAGTGGGAAGACAACTAGAGGCATGATCATGCAAGCCAGCTTAAAACTTCATCCAAATTTGAACAAATGGGGAGAGGACTGGATACAAATTTGACTTTCAACCTTGTTTACAAGGAATTGTCTTACACGTAAAAGGGGGGAAAAAAAGAACCCTCATGTAGTTTGATAAGGAGACAGAAGACGGTGTATCAAACAATTGGACTAAACCTCCCTGGCTTCTCTGGAAGAATTAGAAAACAGATAAATGTTCTATAATCTTCCAAAAGGAAGCAAATTCAATCAATTTTCTTTTTCTAATTGATACTCACACACATACCCTCAAGGAATTGTTTGCACTCAAGAAGAGTCAAACCTTAGACTAGATACTTTCTGAGGCACCAGGCCAAGTTCTTTTCTACTTGAGCCAACCCCTTGGGGTTCAAATTCAATCATTTCCTTTTCCCCTTACCTAGTCCTTCCCAAGATGCAAAAAACATGAAATAAAATCCAAATTATATGAAAAAATCATGCTCCAATTGATAATTCTTTCTGGTTGTCAAACGATCCATAAACCTGTTGTGCAGTTCTTCATTCAATGTCACAAGGAACATGAAATATTTTACATGCTGTTTTGATCACAATGGTTCAAACTAGGTCATAAATTTTTGTAGCCCAATTTTCTAGAATGAAGGACCAATTTGGCCTTTTTAATCCCCTATAACTTAAAGGAGTTTTGTCAATTTCACAGATAAACCAGGGTAACCTAAAATAATAGCATATTTAAAACCATAGATTGTTGCAAAGAAACAAGTAAATACAAAATAAATAAATAAAATTACATCAAAAAAAAAAAAAAAAAAAAAAAAAAAAAAAGGGACAAACTTACCAGGATCCTTTTTAACCCCAGGCAGAGCAACTCGAAAATAATATGCAAATTTGCTAACACCAATGTCCACGGCTCCAACAGATGGTCCAGTTCCCCCTCTTCTAGCAGTTCCAGCCATTATAATAGATTCTTTTGAGCTACATTCATATACATCTGGAATAGATAAAAGGGGCATCATGCAAGTCCCATCCAGACTCCAGGCACTTGAAAATGATGACATTTCCAAGTCTCCCACCTTCGGCAATGTTCAAAAAACTACATCAATAATATAAATAAATAAAAACACTCGAAAACAATTCAATAGCCAGCTTGCAATGCTTGAAAACATCTTCACCAATATTTGAACTGCAAACCATAAACAACACTATAGCCGGTACATTATAACAAGGTGAGCAAAAGCAAAAGCAAAGATACCAATCATTAAAGCTTAGCTGCATAAGTTTAAACAAAAATGCAAGCATATAATGCAAATATATATTAAAAAAACAACTCAAATAACAATGCTAATGCTCCTCCTTATTTATGCATATCACATACTATATACTACCCCTTTTTGTCACAAGATTGACAAAATAACTTAAACAACAGTGTGTGTGTGTATATATATATATATTCTACCTCTGTCCCATAAGATGTGTCCCTTTTGGGGAACTTAACTGTTTAAGAGTGTAGTTTTTAATTATTTTTTTTATTATTATAGGCGGTAGTGGACCGTGGTAGAGAATGAATTTCCAAATATATGCTTCTATGGTGGAACCACATGCTTTTATAACTTCGAGACAAGGAGGGTAAATTAGGAATATTAGAAAATTAGTAAATTTTTTTTATTTTTTTGAAAGGTGAAAAAAAAAATTAAAAAGAAAGAAAAAGAAAATTAGTACATTGTATTTTGAATTGGGACAATTATTTTGGGACAGCCAAAAAAGGAAAGGTGGACATTTTTTGTTGGATGGAGGGCGTGTATATATATATATATATATATATATATATATATATATATATGTGCATATAACCAATCCGGAATTTCATTCAAACTTGACAAAGAAATACATTGTTCAAAAAATTTGCTCCGTAAGACTAATCCCTATAAGCTGTACCAAAATTTGTAACATGTATAAATTCAATAAGAATTACATTGTTAAAAACTTTTGCTCAGTAAGACTAATCCCTATAAGCTGTACCAGAATTTGTAAGATGTATAGAGTCAAAAACTCAATATAACCAAACCGAAAAATATAAACCAAAAGAAACAAATATAAAAACCTAATATAGTAAAACTAAGCAAAATCAGTAGCTATATTAAAACTAAAGTCCATCACCCCCAATGCCACAGGCTCGATCACCAGCAAGTCTCCGGAAATGATGCCCAATACAAACAACATTATAGTGAATGTTTTGGAGATATTCAAATGTATCCTACTTGAATGTGGCAAAGTCATAATCATATCGAGTGACATGATTCTCTAAAGCATCTAGACGCCGAATGTGCTGGTTGTCCATGTTGAGTCAAAAGTTTGTCATGTATTGTTCTAGATGTCGAATATCATTTGTAGTTGAATTTGTATGTTGTGGTGACAGATTCACTTGAAAATGCTCTTCCTTTCTTCCTTATGTTCTCACCTTCATCACTTAACTCACTAGATGCCAATATCATATAAGCATGCCTTCGTTCTAATGAAAGGTGGGAGGTGATTTTGTTGAGACGGGAGTGACTGGAGTCCTTTCCTCTTCACATTTCTCTTGAAAACCAAATCGAGCATCACAATGGAGCTCAAGAATGTGGCAAATAAATATAGGAAAAGGAAGTACTTTTCTCTTGGAGCCATCCATCCCAATAGATATCATAATTTAACAATGGAAGTGCAAGATCAATTATGGTATTGAGTCTCATTGTTTCCTAGAGAGCTCAGAGTGATCTCAGAATTTTTTTGACGACTTTGTTCTGAAGGATTTTCTCTCCAAGTCTGTATTTGCTGTTTACTATGTCATTGAGTTTTGCATAGATTCGTCAAATGTTTTACTATCTTCCATTCTAAGACTTTCAAATTTCTTAATGAGCATTTGAATTTTAGAGATTTTAACAGGAGTTGTTCCTTCATATACTTTCTTTAAAACAATAAAATCTCCTAGCAAATTGACTAGGTGACACAACAGTAAAAATAGCATTCATACATTTAGAATTAAAATTTCCCTTTCAAGTTCACTTAGACCATTCTTCACTAGGTTTTGCAGTTGACCTACCATCAAAATCTTTAACAACTAGATGTTCCAATCATGCTCTACAGTAAACTAAGCTTTTTCTTCAATTTAATTTTAGAAATTGACGTAAGCAAAAGCAATAAATTTGTTCACGAGGAACAGATTACCTTGAATCCACTAGGTGGGTGTTTTGAATCCATAAAACAAAGGATAATTTAAGAGAAATCTGATATTTGTATTGATAATTGAATGAATAAAAGTTAATTATGCACTTGGTAGTACACGTATTTATAATAAACGAAAACCTAACATTAGAAGAAAACTAAAAACATAAAGAAACCTAATAGCAAAAGGAAAACAATTCCTCAAAGAAATTTAATAAAAGTAAACTTCCAATAACAATATAAAAATAAAATAAATAAGAAATCTAACTAATAAAAATTACTAAGGAGATAAAATTGACCTACATCAATCCCCTCCACTTCAAAAGAATTCGTCCTCAAATTTAAGTACAGATAAAAGTGAGTCTTAATCTGATATAGAGGTCCACCCTCATCGCAATGCCTTTTTACATAAAGGCCACTCAATCCTTCTTTTATTATCCTCTCCTTCCATTTACTGTAGCACAACACCAAGGCCAAAGTAAGCATTCCCATTGATAACAAAAGAGCATTGATTGTGTCCCTTAATTCTTGTAAGATGCCAAAATTAAGGCAAATATCAACCTTGTAAATATGGTCTTCTAAATACTCACAGCTAGCAACAACCACATTGTACTCCTTGGGAGTCGCCATTGTTTTTATTTGTAATTGCACCCAATTTCTCCCAACTGATGCTGGCCCTTTTATTTGAATAGTTGATTGTTTCCAAGTTGGAAGTTGCCCAGTGAATGCTAATATCCTGCCCAGTAACGTGACCATTAGCTTCTCCTTCTTCAACCATATCTCTAAACCACGTCAAACAGCTGCTACTACTTTGAAGTTCATCCTCGTTCTCCAAATTATTATTTGGGTTGCAATCGCCTCCACATTCTACCTCACCCAAACCAGCCATGATGTCTTCAAAGTGGGTCTTAGTTGTATTATGGAATCTCTCCTATAACTACAGTATGACCAATTTCACCATCTTCAACAACTAGAGATGAAGTAACTAAATCTTGCTCACAATCAACCTCTTGAAATTCCCTAGTTGCTTCAACAAAATTATTAGGATCTTAATTCTTGTTATCTATTTTTTTCTTCTCTTCAAAACAATTACTCTCAAATTTCAATTCTGGTGTAAACTTGACCATTGTAGGAGGAGGTCAAGGCTTCGAAGACAACGATAAATCGCTATAGGACTGACTCTTCGTACACCTCAACTGATAATCTTGGTACCAAGACTCTATCAGTGTTTTTCTTTGTCGTGCACGAGTAACCCACAATTGATCCCACCAAACAAAAGCTCTTCCCTTCAATTTGTATGCGACAAGTGCCACTTTCTTATCCTCTGGAATCCCCATGTAATCAAAGAAGCTCTCAAAATCTTGTAGCCAATCTAGAAAATCTTCAATATGAAAGAGACCATCAAAACTTCTAGGAGGAAAATTCCTAGAATCATAATCCCGATAATGATATCTTCGTGTCTCTCTATGATCCCCAAACACCTTTTCCTCATAGGCTGAATGACTATACGGAGGGAAGGGATTGCGATTATGAACAAGATAAACACGATCTATGTCGTTGCACAACCTATTGTTATCGCGGTTCTGCTCTAGACCCAACTTAAGCCGAACAATCATTGCTTGAATATCTTGCAACGTTTGTTGGGTTTCACGTTGATGTCTTGAAATTTGGCTCTAAAAGGGGCCACTCTCTATCGATCTTCGTCGCCAGCGAGGATGCCACGAAAACGATCACCTGCCATCAGACCAGAAAAAGACAAGGCTCTGATACCAACTGATGTAAGCGGAAGAGATAAATTTGTTTACAAGGAACAAATTACCTTGAATCCACAAGGTGGGTGTTTTGAATCCACAAAACGAAAGGATAATTTAAGAGAAATCTGATATTTGTATTGATAATTGAATGAATAAAAGTTAATTATGCACTTGGCAGTACACGTATTTATAATAAAAGAATACCTAACATTAGAAAAAAACTAAAAACATAAAGAAACCTAATAGCAAAAGGAAAACAATTCCTCAAAGAAATTTAATAAAAGTACACTTCCTATAAAAAAATATAAAAACAAAATAAATAAGAAATCTAAATAATAAAAATTACTAAGTAGATAAAATTGTACTACATACCAACTGACGTAAGCAGAAGCGATAAATTTGTTCACGGAGAACAGATTACCTTAAATCCACAAGGTGGGTGTTTTGAATTCACAAAACAAAGGATAATTTTAAAGATATATGATATTTGTATTGATAATTGAATTAATAAAAGTTAATTATGCACTTGGCAGTATACGTATTTATAATAAAAGAAAACCTAACATTAGAAGAAAACTAAAAACATAAAGAAACCTAATAGTAAAAGGAAAACAATTCCGCAAAGAAATTTAATAAAAGTACACTTCCTATAAAAAAATATAAAAATAAATAAATAAGAAATCTAAATAATAAAAATTACTAAGTAGATAAAATTGTCCTACATCAGAAATGCTCTCATTCTAGCCTTCCAATAGTTATAGTTACTTACATGAAACCAAACTGGTCTAGATGTAAATCCACCTTCCTTAAGACTATCAATAATCTACTCACTAAATTTGGGTAACCCACTCTAATACCAACTATTGGACCGAACCCTAGGCTCTTATTACAGTAATTCGAGGTCGTGATCTAGACCTAGAGGGGGTTGGGAATTGTTGGAAAACAGGTCTATTACTCTATTTTGCAGAATCTTTAAATCGAAAATCCCATATGTTATTATGAATCAAAACTTAAGAGAAGTTCAAAAATCGTCTCCTTTGGGCAACTTGGAGATTGCCAACAGACGTGAACTCTAGAACTAAGTCTTTGCAGGAACAGCAACTTTAAACCTCCGGCAGACTGGACAAACGACCTCCAAAAATTCTGATTTTCAGATATGTTGTAGCCACGGATGTTAACTTCGTTTTGCCCCTGATTTCAGATCAATCGGAGTTGTAGCGAAGGAGATATGATTGTTTTAGTGCCTGCTGGTCTGTCTACTCCAAGCCTGCATTTTTGCAATCTTGAAATGGCTTGGGTAAATCATTGTGGCTGTAAAACACCCCCAAAATCTTCACCTCTATGGTATCCACGAGTTATGGAAGAGTGGGCTTATGTACTATTTAAAAAAATAAAAAAACTCACTTAAAGACAGAGTTTTCCATTTTAACTAGGTGCACGTAATTTACATATACACCTATTGTATTTGCGAATGCATGCATGTTTGTAGTTTATCTCTGTTGTTCATTCCTGTGGAAGGTAATGCTTTATTTAAATTCTAATTTGGTTTTTTATCTAATAATTATTATTTTTCTGATCAAGAGAAAATTTAAAACATGGAGGGCTTGTTATGCTTTCAAAAGAGAATAAGTAGATCACATATGAACAATAATTTGTCAATGCCTAAACATGCCCGATATTTGGCTCCTCAAATGCACGTGCAAGACCAAATTGGAAGACACTGGCATTTTGACACTTCAAGAACTACCAATAGCCGGCACTCAATGGTTCGTGATTGGAGACGATTTGCCACAACAACAAATATCCGACAATAATAAACTTATGCCAAATAGTGTGATAATGATAAAAGAAATGTATGGTGCAAATACTATGATATATGTATATATGGTTGCAAAATTGCAAATATAGTTTCTAAAATGACCTCCAAGAGAGTTTGCCTAGTATAGTTCTACTGCTGTGGCATTTTTCAACTTTATGTGGTGCTGATGAGATTCCGGGAAACAAAGTCCCTCTAACCGAATCAGATAAGCTCTACTTATTGCTTCTTGAACCAGTCAGAAAACAAAAGCTTTCCCATCTAAAGGAGCGATGGGTCATTTGGATAGGTGCTTTCATGGCTATTCCTGCTCCATACTTGATCTTTTAATTTAGAAGGAATTGCATCTCTTTGAATTCTAGGAGAGATATATAACTGACAATTTGAGAATTGTAGTTGAGTTACTTTTTGGACACCAAGTTTTATTAGTTCATAACAACTTGTTTGCTTCTTTATTACTGTTTTTCCTATCTTCTTGCGTTAAACACATAATAAGTGACTCTATTCTTCATTGTGCTACTAAGCTATATGGTAGTGTCTCAAACCTGTCAATTGAGAGTTCTAGAGTTATGTATAACCACTCAACAAAGCGTTGTCTAACTATATGGGATGGACTTCAAATAGATCCCGTCCAATCATTCTGTCAAATACAAGCAGCGCAACAAACAAAAAACTCTATAATCTCATATTTGAAGAAGAAATACATTACTCACATTTCTATTAATCATAAGAACGAAACTATAGCTTCATTGAATCTTAGTTTTATTAGCTAATGCCTCTGTCTGCATTAGAAGATTTGAAAGGGTCAGGGTTGTGATGTATGGCATAGGAGGACAAAATACAGCTGAGTAACAGAGGTAGAGAGCAATTACAAGTAAATAGACTCATAATCAATAAGGATGGGCACAAATTTTCACCTTCAACAATAATAAACTTGTGCCAAATAATATGATAATGGGAAATGAAATGTATGGTGCAAATACTGTGATATATGTGTATATATGGTTGCAAAATTGCAAATACAAATCTAACATTTTTCCTAAAACACACACACATTACAAAAATAATAATAAGTGCTCTAAAGAGAAAACGTAAGAGTAAAACAACAAAAACCCTAACCCTAATCTGAGAATAAAAGAAAGATAAAATGAAGAAAAAGCCAAACTTAACAAACAAAGAAAAGAAATAGTCACCGCCGGCTCGCCGGAGAAGGAACGGCGGCGAGAAACAGTTCGTTTCTTCAAACTTCCAAGTGCTTTGTCGAACTCCGGTTACCGGCTCTCACAATAACCGGTTCGCAGTTCTGTGACTTTTAAGAAGTCCAGCAAACTCCTCTATAATTCCCGATTAACTAGAGACCGGCACGTCAGGTTGCCATGTCAGAAGATTCAGAACTGAATGGGGCAGCCCCCAAATTGCTGTCACATTTGTCCAAAAAAAATATTCCGGAGTAATAAACTGTTGTCCCCAACAAAACATGTTTTCTTTTATTCTAGTCATGCTCTTCGATGATAAGCCATTTGTAAAAATAAAAAAATATGTTTTCTTTTATTCTAAACATAAAGTCATTCATTGATAAGTCATTAGTAAAAGAAAATTTGCTAAAAAGAATTCAAAAGAAAAAATTTGTTTTATGGATGTGTGTACAAAAAATTATAAAGAGGAATTCAAACGGACAGTCAACAATGGAACCAAAGATTTTGAAAATTGAAGGAATGTTTTTTTTTTTTTTTTTTCAGTTAAGCTGGGGCAATATTAAGGAAAATAAAGATATTAATACTGGTGCAAGGAAGCTAACAGCCACAATATGCGTAACCAAGTGTTACATCCCTATAATCCTGGACACGGCTCTACAAGTTCCTAAAAACAAGCTCGATGCTGTGAAAAGATAACATGTTTTATGGATGTGTGTACAAAAAATTATAAAGAGGAATTCAAACGGACAGTCAACAATGGAACCAAAGATTTTGAAAATTGAAGGAATGTTCTTTTTTTTTTTTTTTTTTTTTTCAGTTAAGCTGGGCAATATTAAGGAAAATAAAGATATTAATACTGGTGCAGGGAAGCTAACAGCCACAATATGCGTAACCAAGTGTTACATCCCTATAATCCTGGACACGGCTCTACAAGTTCCTAAAAACAAGCTCTAATGCTGTGAATGCAGGGAAGCTAACAGCCACAATATGCGTAAACCAAGTGTTACATCCCTGTAATCCTGGACACGACTCTACAAGTTCCTGAAAACAAGCTCTGATGCTGTGAATGTAGGGAAGCTAACAGCCACAATATGCGTAACCAAGTGTTACATCCCTATAATCCTGGACACGGCTCTACAAGTTCCTAAAAACAAGCTCTGATGCTGTGAAATTTCAACATTAGAGCTTGTTTTTAGGAACTTGTAGAGCCGTGTCCAGGATTATAGGGATGTAACACTTGGTTACGCATATTGTGGCTGTTAGCTTCCATATCTGCATCATCAGTATTAATCACATCATCAGAGCTTGTTTTTAGGAACTTGTAGAGCCGTGTCCAGGATTATAGGGATGTAACACTTGATTACGCATATTGTGGCTGTTAGCTTCCATATATGCATCATCAATATTAATATCCTTACTTTCCTTAATAGGCAATTCCTAACACAATTCCCAACTTTCAATCTACGCCCTTTCTAGGCTATTGCCTTACAAATTTATAGTAGTACTAGGATCCCGGAACCTTTTTTTGGCATATTTCTCTCGGTGATATTTTCTTTTCGATTTTTTTTTTTTTTTTTTTTTTTTTTTTTTTTTTTTTCTAATTTAGTGTAAAGGATTTGGCCTTATCTCCCTCTTATTTTCTTTTTTGAATTTTTGTTCCAATTTGAACTTATTCGCCATGTGTCACCTGTTTAATATTTTATTAATAAATGTGATATTCATGTATTAGGCTTACATATATTTGCATGAAATGCATTATTGTCCTCATAATTTTACATATATATATATATATATATACAAGTAATAAAAGTGGATTCCTTTTCTAATATTTATATACAATTTATTAGTCATTTTAATTATATATTAAATCAGTTATATAAATTTAGTCAATATATGTGACTTTTCACATATAGTCAATATACGCGACTTTTTACATACCATGTGACTTTTCAAGTAATTGTTTTCTTGTAAATTATTATGTTCTTCTATACATACATATATCATAATGAGAAAAGTGTCTTATATTCAGTTATTCTAATTCAAGAAATAAAATAATCATATACGAGAATTTTCACACATATTACATATACATATCATAACTTGAAAACTTTTCTAAAGTTCATCACTATTTTAAATAACTAAAAAACCTATTCCTCACTTTCTCACACTGGTTTCACGAAAGTTTAACTTCTTTTACAAGTACAAATGTAATAATGACTATTCTAAAAGTTACCTTCTAATTAATGCCAAACACCTTCTGTATTTTAAATCAATAAATAAATCTCAGTTAAAAGACACTAACATTTTTCATTTTAAGAACAAAATAAATAATTAAAAAATATTTTAACATTACTTTTTGGAATAATTGCCTCAAGAAGATGTTATTTTAACTAGAGTTGTCTCCAAATTAAAATACCTATTGTATATATATATATATACATAAAGTTTAAATTATAATTTTTAGTTAGTTACGGTTAGATTTTTATTAATTAAATAAGTTTTTAAAACTTCCTAATTGTTGAATTTTGAAAAAATGTGGATAATTTAATATGGAAAGTGTCAATATTGAATAGTAGAATTTAATACGGAAATGTGTCAATATTGAATAGTAGTGTCTACTTACTAGGGGTGTGGAGTAGCTTATATAAGGTTCCTCTCACATATTGTATATAAGTTTTAACGTGTACTGGATACCTTTATGTAACTTTTCTATATCATTATCTTCCTTTCCTAGAATCAAATCTATTGTTATTTTCATTTCCCTATATTTGAATTTATGGGTAATATGACAATGTATGCGTGGAAGACATTTATACATACTATTGCTTTCCTTAATTTTATATTGTATTTTAAATTTTATTAAGGTTAGATGAAACACTGCAACTCATATATATATATATATATATATTCTGAATTTTATTATTGTTGAATAAAATAGTTGAAAGTCGTGTCTTTAAGAAAACGTAATATAATGAAACCAAAACACGTGTGACAAGTAAGTTATTCGCGTTGGTTGAAATTGAGATTCAATTAGTCTTACCGAAAAATTCAATCTCTAAAACTTTCTCTAAAAAGGGAAAGGAATAAAACATTTTATTTTGTGTTATATACATCACTCCATATATATATATATATATAATAGACGATTAAGATTGTTTAAAAATAAAAATTCCAATTTCTTTTAAAGTTTTCCATGATTGAATAACTTCATCTCAAATACTTTAAAGTTTTCCACGATTATACAGATTGAGTATTTTATTTTATGTTTTTTTTTTTCCTGGTACCAGAACATTCATCAGCACGGAAAACATTTGAATCTATATTAAATCCCCATAAAATTCAGTTTTCATTAAATAACTTAACAATCAATGTTCTAGAAAATCTTAACTGTTTATGCAAAACAAAATATATATGAGAAAGAATTATAAAACCATGTTAGGATTCATCCTTTTGGCAAACGATCAATTATTAATTTTAAAATAGAGAAATATATGCATTGGAATTTTTAATAAACGCTGCTAATTTGAAATTTATTTATTAAAGTTGAGTAATAGGTCGCTATATTTAGCCTGGATGTTAATTTTGTTAGTACAACTAATATATCTATGTACTGATTATGTAATTATTTATGGAGATAGTTTGATTGGTACTCACCTTCTTTGTTTCGGTTAATATCAATAATGCCGCCTTGACATTAATTTCTATAACATTTAATCTCGAACTTTTTTATTGATTTAAATATACAATTTTGTGTTAGTATCTTCTTTTTATTATTGTGCTAAACAAAAAATTTATATCTTCGTTTTATTTATTAACCTCAAAATGCAAGATAAATTTAGTTTGAATTGCATATAATTTAATATAATTTAATGTAGTTGGTGACAATTTATTTTACATATATTAAGGAAGGAAATCTAGTTGTTTCCAACAATTATATGTTACATTATATTGAAGTAAATTTTCACCACGTGCAATGCACGTGGATAATTCTATAAAAGTGTATTTGATTTATAATATTTATATACATTTTAAAATAATTAATTTAATTAAAAAATATTATTACGTGACTTTTCAAGTTTCTCATTTACATTGTTATACACCAATGATTGCACTGTTTAGGATTTCAACACTTTTTGATATTCTTGCCAATGCACTTTTACACTTTTAGATAGATATATTTACATTCTTAACTACTGACAGCTCTTTGCAAAGAAAAAAAAAAAACTCCGGATTGTTTTATATATTTTGATTGTCTTCTTTTATAAAGAGTTTATCTTAAATTCAAACACTTTTTCTTTCATTAAGAGTTATTGTCCAATTAAAATATATCACATCTCAATTTAAATTATTTTGTATTTATTATTATTATTATTATTTTTACAATAAAAGAATATGCTTTGCTTCCTTAAAACTATTGAAACTATATGATCATATAAAAAAAGGAGACAGATATTTATAGTCCCTAAATTACTCTCTTACTCTTTCTCTCTCTCTCTCTCCATCTTTTTATGCAATTTTTTTTTATGCAAAAAATTATTAGATATTTTATTCATGATCACCTTTGAACCCTTTTGTTGGAAACACATCTTTTATTGTGTATCAAATTAGTTTTTAAGAAAGTTAATGGTAAAAACTTCTTCTAGTTGAATAAACATATCATTTCTTGAACAGGTGTATAGTAGCCTATAAATAGTAGAGTAATCCAATAATTTTCCAAATTTCCTTCTTTGTCCATGCAACCAATATACTATCTCATTATGTATATAAAGTGTATTTGATTTATAATATTTATATACATTTTAAAATAATTAATTTAATTAAAAAATATTTTTACGTGACTTTTCTAGTTTTCCATTTACATTGTTATACACCTTTTAATTCCCAATCATTACACTGTTTAGGATTTCAACACTTTTTGATATTCTTGTCAATGCACTTTTACACCTTTAGATAGATAGATTTAAATTCTTAACTAGGGGTGGGCAAAAAATCAACGAATCCGTGGATCCAATCCGTACGGATCGGATCGGATTGCTAGACTCACGGATCGGTAGCGGATTCAAAATAATTGAATCCGTAGTTCACGAATCGGATCACGGATTAGGATGTTAAAAATCCGATCCGATCTGTGAATCTGATCCGTGGCCGATCCGTAGCATATATATATATATATACACACACACACACACATAATATATTAATATTATATAATATAATTATACAATATACAATCCTATATATATATA